TGGGCTTTGTTGCTTCTGAGCTAGATGGCCGCTTGATTACCTTCAAGCCTTTAAGACCCCAGACGCTATACTTGAAACACTTGAAACAGGTCTTGTGCTGCAGATTGACCTAATGTCATCCATCCTCTTAGCTTTTGACTGCTGCTTCCATGAGCATTGCTTGTGGATCCAAGCAAGACAAAATCCTTCACAACTTCAATCTTATCCATTTATCATGATGTGGTCTATGGGTCCAGTTGAGAGGATTTTTGTTTTCTTTACATTGAGTTGGAATTCATACTGAAGGCTGCAATCCGTGATCATCATCAGCAAGTGCTTCAAGTGCCTTCTCCCTTTCAGCAAGGAAGGTGGTTTCAACTGCATGCCTTCCTCCAACCCTGATGCTACATTCTTCTTAACATACTCCAGCTTCTCTGATTCTTTTCTCAGTAAGCAGACTGGATAAGTACGGTGAGAGGATACAACCCTGGGGCACACCTTTCCTGATATCATCCCATGCAGCATTCCCTTGTTCTGTTCGTACAGCTTCCTCTTGATCCCTGAACAGGTTCCACATGAGCACAGTTAAGTGTTCTTAGATGTAGGTAGGTTCTGTTTGTTAAACCTACATAGCAGTAAAATGAAAAACTTCAAGGTAATCCACCCTTGCCTCAACAAAGTGGATATTATAGGTACCTAAAATAATTTGTATGAGGAGAGTCCTCATTATAAAAGAATCATCCCGTTTATAATTTCTCTCTGCAGGTAAAATCATGCCTCAAAAAAGGCAGTTCAAATTGGGGCCCTGTCCTATTTATTTGTTCTAGGAATGTTATCATTCATTCTGTGCTCAGAAACCATGTGGCTACAGTTGAGGAAACCTGATCAATCCTCTTGAAGAGTTCATAGAATGTCTGAGATACATTAACATTTCAATACTCAACATCTGTTTTTCTTTTCTTTCCTTTTTTCCTCCTTTCTTTCTCTCACTCATTCCTCCATCCCCCCTACACACACACACACAGACAGCATAAACTATTTTCTATAATCCATTACAGAGCTGAAAATTTTTATATTCCCATATTGGTTTCCAATGAGGCATGCACCTTTTTTTCATCAGGGGTGGACCCTTGAGGAAAGTCTCCATTATTTTTTTCACATTATGCAATTCAAATATGATCCTTTCCCAGGCACTGTGAAGTTGGGAATGAGGCTTTTTTTTTTTTTTTAACCTCTTCAGGGAATTCCAGCCTGAATACAAGGATTCCTTCTTTGGGTCG